AGTAAAACGAGTCCTATATCGACATAACCTGAAAGGCCGCTCAGCAAGGAAGAAGCCACTGCTCCAAAACCGCCATAAAAAAGCCAGACTACGGTTTGAAACTGCACATGGGGACAAAGATCGTACTTTTTGGAGAAGTGTCCTCTGGTCTGATGAAACAACAATAGAACTGTTTGGCCATAATGACCATCGTTATGTTTGGAGGAAAAAGGGGGTTGCTTGCAAGCCGAAAAACACCATCCCAACCGTGAAGCACGGGAGTGGCAGCATCATGCTGTGGGGGTGCTTTGCTGCAGGAGGGAATGGTGCACTTCACAAAATAGATGGCATCATGAGGAAGGAAAATTAAGTGGATATATTGAAGCAACATCTCAAGACATCAGTCAGGAAGTTAAAGCTTGGTCGTAAATGGGTCTTCCAAATGGACAATGACCCCAAGCATACTTCCAAAAATGTGGCAAATGGCTTAAGGACAACAAAGTCAAGGTATTGGAGTGGCCATCACAAAGCCCTGACCTCAATCCTACAGAAAATGTGTGGGCAGAACTGAAAAAGCGTGTGCGAGCAAGGAGGCCTATAAACCTGACTCAGTTACACCAGCTCTGTGAGGAGGAATGGGCCAAAATTCACCCAACTTGTTGTGGGAACTTATGGAAGACTACCCGAAACGTTTGAGCCAAGTTAAACAATTTAAAGGCAATGCTACCAAATACTAATTTAGTGTATGTAAACTTCTGACCCCACTGGGAATGTGATGAAAGAAATAAAAGCTGAAATAAATCATTCTCTCAACTATTATTCTGACATCTCATATTCTTAAAATAAAGTGGTGATCCTAACTGACCTAAAACAGGGAATTTTTACTAGGATTAAATGTCAGGAATTGTGAAAAACTGAGTTTAAATGTACAGTGGGGAAAAATAGTATTTAGTCAGCCACCAATTGTGCAAGTTCTCCCACTTAAAAAGATGAGAGAGGCCTGTACTTTTCATCATAGGTACACGTCAACTATGACAGACAAATTGAGAAGAAAAAAATCCAGAAAATCACATTGTAGGATTTTTTATGAATTTATTTGCAAATTATCGTGGAAAATAAGTATTTGGTCACCTACAAACAAGCAAGATTTCTGGCTCTCACAGACCTGTAACTTCTTCTTTAAGAGGCTCCTCTGTCCTGCACTCGTTACCTGTATTAATGGCACCTGTTTGAACTTGTTATCAGTATAAAAGACACACTCCAAACTCCACTATGGCCAAGACCAAAGAGCTGTCAAAGGACACCAGAAACAAAATTGTAGACCTGCACCAGGCTGGGAAGACTGAATCTGCAATAGGTAATCAGCTTGGTTTGAAGAAATCAACTGTGGGAGCAATTATTAGGAAATGGAAGACATACAAGACCACTGATAATCTCCCTCGATCTGGGGCTCCATGCAAAATCTCACCCCGTGGGGTCAAAATGATCACAAGAACGGTGAGCAAAAATCCCAGAACCACACAGGGGGACCTAGTGAATGACCTGCAGAGAGCTGGGACCAAAGTAACAAAGCCTACCATCAGTAACACACTACGCCGCCAGGGACTCAAATCCTGCAGTGCCAGACGTGTCCCCCTGCTTAAGCCAGTACATGTCCAGGCCCGTCTGAAGTTTGCTAGAGTGCATTTGGATGATCCAGAAGAGGGTTGGGATCTTTTTGGTAAAAACTCAACTCGTCGTGTTTGGAGGACAACGAATGCTGAGTTGCATCCAAAGAACACCATACCTACTGTGAAGCATGGGGGTGGAAACATCATGCTTTGGGGCTGTTTTTCTGCAAAGGGACCAGGACGACTGATCCGTGTAAAGGAAAGAATGAATGGGGCCATGTATCGTGAGATTTTGAGTGAAAACCTCCTTCCATCAGCAAGGGCATTGAAGATGAAACGTGGCTGGGTCTTTCAGCATGACAATGATCCCAAACACACCGCCCGGGCAACGAAGGAGTGGCTTCGTAAGAAGCATTTAAAGTTCCTGGAGTGGCCTAGCCAGTCTCCAGATCTCAACCCCATAGAAAATCTTTGGAGGGAGTTGAAAGTCCGTGTTGCCCAGCGACAGCCCCAAAACATCACTGCTCTAGAGGAGAACTGCATGGAGGAATGGGCCAAAATACCAGCAACAGTGTGTGAAAACCTTGTGAAGACTTACAGAAAACGTTTGACCTGTGTCATTGCCAACAAAGGGTATATAACAAAGTATTGAGACACTTTTGTTATTGACCAAATACTTATTTTCCACCATAATTTGCAAATAAATTCATAAAAAATCCTACAATGTGATTTTCTGGAAAAAAAAATCTAATTTTGTCTGTCATAGTTGACGTGTACCTATGATGAAAATTACAGGCCTCTCTCATCTTTTTAAGTGGGAGAACTTGCACAATTGGTGGCTGACTAAATACTTTTTTCCCCCACTGTATTTGGCTAAGGTGTATGTAAACTTCCGACTACAACTGTAGGCAGCAATGGAGATAGAGTTGCATTGAGAGTATTAGGCTGTAAGACTGATTGAGCTGTGATTACAGTAGTCCAACATTGTGGTCCATCTCTGCCAGGACATCATTTATAGTTCTCGAAAGTGTTTTAAACGCTTTTGAGGTTTTGTGGTGTAATAATGCCCTAAAGGTGTCATAGTAGATCTGTAAGAAAGGCAGTGGGTGTGAACATCAGTGAGTGCCCAGCACAACAGTGCGTTGCTCTGCAGGGTGAGATGTTTTTCCCGCCAATTGCACACGATTTCATCAGCAGGCCTCTCTGTTTTATCTCAACAGTGGTAACTGACTGTGCTATGCTGTCAATGTAATGACTATTACTAGTTATGGAGGATTTAATGACATGTTATTTGTCTCTCGTCTGAATGCCTGCACATTTTAATCAAAAGATTGATTGCTGTGAAGATCACACTTACAGCCATATGTCTGTCTCTTTGTAAAAATCTCATAAAATACTGTACTCAATATCCTCAGATGAAATGTGTCTTTTCAGCCCTATATGTTGGCTCAGGGATCAGGCAGCAGCTAAACTGCTTTAGCTTGTCAAAAAGACTTCTCAGCAGAGGTGTGTGGTTGCCAAGAGAGGAGGGAGGTGAAAATGCATGACATTTCTTCCAGAAAGATCAAGTGCATTACATTTTTAATTTGCAACATTCTTCCTCCAGATTTGTGGGGGATTTGACAGACGAAATCAAACAGCAGCATCCATTGTCATGGATTTATTTTGTGACATTGATTCATGTTTTGAGATGTACATGAATCTGGGAATCATACAATGTCAGTGGTTCTATTTCATATCAGATATGGTTTGGTCTTACAGTTGTAAAGATAATCTTGGAGTAATTGGACTAACCATGCCTAAATCAGGCCTTGGTGGCTGCCAGGTGCCAGTCTGTTGAGTGGGTAGTGACTGACCCAGCTGACACCCAGATAAGAATGTGGGCACAGCGCTTCACAGGTAATGCTGTCCCAAAGGGCAGTAAATCCAGTCTGTATCTTTTATTTCATGTTCACAAAGGTAAACAAAGCACTTTGGCTGCACCCACTTTGGCTGCAATCAGTTTGGCATCCTGTGGCAGATGAACAGCTCCTGCCTGTGGGTTTTATTATTATTTTTAATCAAGATCAGCTTTAAAAACATATTTCTCAGTGTCCTGCCTGTGGCTACTTCCCTCCACTGTGAGTGACGTGACTTGTCTGTCTGCCAGTCCCATTCTCAGACCAGCAGAGGGAGGAAGCTGTTCAGGAGAGGAGTACTTATGCCCCCTCTGCTCCCCACTCCATGACAGCACAGGTCTGTTGGAGGGGGTCACGCCCCTAGCCTAAAAAGGCAAAGCAGAATACAGCTGGTGTGGCTAGCTCTAAGAATAACCCAGGCAGGCAGGGCAGAATAGCCTGGGGTAAGGTTACCTTGAAGCCCCCTTCCTGTCTTATGTTTCCTGATCTACACCCATCATGGGCAGGGAAAACTTTTAGGCTGGATCTGCACCTCTCCACTGGCCAGCCCTGGAACCTTTTTCCTCCTCAACTTTTGCTCTCGCCCTCCTGGACTTTAATTGACCCTCTTCAGAGAACCAATGAGACGGTAACCCTTTGGTATATTTTTCCTTTTTCTTCTTCAGGAGAATTGAACATCCAATCCAGACACCAGGTGTAATATTTTTTGGTTGTGGCAGTGCTTCCTAGTAGGGGCTCTGTGGATGGACTCATCCTCGATGATCAGGACTCAAACAGGATAAGCTTGGTGGCGCTCCATGTTATTTTTTTTCACTACAACTTCGTTTTTTCGTTTTTTTTGTCCTAAGGGATTAATTGCTGAAATTACACATTCAAACCAGCATGACTGAGGGAGTCGAAGGTACAGTATCTACACAAGTCTAAGTATGTCTTTACATTTTACTTCCTTATTATAGGTAACTTCATTTGTTATTTTAAATGTTAAAAGCATACGTATAACATAGCTCAGCAGACATTTTGGAACCTGCTCTGTAAAGGAATCTCATGATTGGCGGTTTCTAAAAATACTGGATATCATATAGCATATCATATTGGCTATTTGCTATGCAGCCTTGAAACACTTGTGACGTTAGCACGGCTTTAAGTGTCTTGCACTTAAGGTGCATAATCCACCTCCATCATTACTGTTACAGCTGAGAAGAGTTGACGTCATCTGACTTTTGGGAATCAAACTAATGATTATTTCTGATGTCCCTAGTTTTCCCTCAGTCAGTTCGAATAGAATAGGCTTGATTTTATTCAACCTGAGCCAGGGTGTCAAAACTTATATTCAACTTTACTTAAAATTGACCTAGAAGTGACTCAGAGTACATTTGGAGAGCAGCCAGGAGAGGATAAGATCAGATCAGTGTTTTGTTGGCTAACTCTATCTGACTCTATTATTGTCCTGAGATTAGTTGTCATGGATATCTACTAAGGGTTCCCAAGACAGGGTCGTCAACTTTAGGCAGCGATGGGTCAGGAGAGAAGTAAAGTAGATGTGTTGGAGCTTCATTCATTTTTAACAGCACAGCATATTTGTGTGATGTATTCCATCACTATCCCCTCTACACTACTCCTGGAGTCCAGGATAATACCATACTGTAAATACCATTACTGTAACCCTGACAAACACACTCAAATGCACATACTGTGCATACATACAAGCACGTACGCACACACACACACACACACACACACACACACACACACACACACACACACACGCACACACACACACACACACACACACACACACACACACACACACACACACACACACACACACACACACACACACACACACACACACACACACACACACACACACACACACACACACACACACTGACACTGTACAAGTCACAGTATGACTTGTGTGTTGTGTGAGAGGAAGCCAGGCATATGGTGTCTGTCTGCAGAGCCTCTTGAGTCAGCAGTTTGAGGGGACATGGGTAACCAATAATCCCCCTTGGCTGACAATGCGGTGCAGGCCATGGTGAAGAGACCCAACAGGTGGCCTGATCCCACACTGGGCCAGGCTGGACAAAAACACATGCACACGCACTCTCTCGCTCGCTCTCTCACTCTCTCTCTCTCTCTCTCTCTCTCTCTCTCTCCCTCTCTCTCTCTCTCTCTCTCTCTCTCTCTCTCTCTCTCTCTCTCTCTTTCTCTCTCTCTGTCTCTCTCTCTCTCCCTCCCTCTTTCTTTCTTTCTCTCTCTTTCACACTCACCGACATACCGTACATGCATTCATACACATGGATGCACACAAATCATGATGGCTGGAGCAGCATTTCAATCGGATACTATCTCTGTCATGGGCCGACTCAGAGAACACACCAGAGACCCATGCCACAAGCAAGGGCTTCTCACTGATTTGCACCGACCTGATTTCACAGTGTAATAGCAGCATATCACATTTTAGAGAATGAACACTGCATTCTAACTACTGCACCTGCACAACAATCAATGGCTTATTCTGACCTAGTCTGCCACATTCTGGTAAATCGATGAGCAGCCTTGTAAAATGAATGGCGCACATAAAGGTCATATGTTTCGTTTGTAAGGAAGCTCTCTCCATTTAACACCAAATCAAATTGCCACGCTACAGAGATTTATGAAAATGAAACAGTATGAAAATGTATGCACTCACTAACTGTAAGTCGCTCTGGATAAGAGCATCTGCTAAATAACTCAAATGTAAATGTAAGATTTATATTCATTTATAGAGATGGGTTTTCATGGCTAAGTCAAAAGATCACAGAGACAACACATTCCACACAAGACATTAGATTAATTTGACACTGTGCACCATATGGTTTAGTATGGTACAGTACAGTAGAGTACTGTCAAAGTCTAGCTATTTACCTGACAAAAACTTGTCTCAGTGCAGTTTAATCACAAACCAACCCATCACTTGGTCTTTATGGTTGGTTCAGCATCATGCCACCAACCTATCTTTTGTTATTTTCTTCCAGCGCGATCCTCCACCACAACCATGGTCATAGAGAGCAAAAACGGGGAGGCAGGACAGCCCCTAGTCAGGGTGTCTAAGAGGACCGTGACTGACGACCTGTACACCACCTTCAGTTCCCCCATGGCCTGGATCCTGGTCCTAGCCCTGGTCGTCACCTGGTCCTGCGTGGCCATCATCATGTTTGACCTGATGGACTACAAGGGCCTCACAGGTAGGTCCTGAACCTGTCCCCCTACTGCTCCTACCCATCATGCATTGGGATGCTACTTCTAGGTCTGTGTTAGGTTAAAGTTTAGACTTCCTCTTTGCATTGGGATTCTACCTTATACCTCAAAGGCCTCTGTAGGTTAGAGCTAGACTTCCTCTTTCCTTTGTTTGTACTCATTAGGATGAAAAGGGGCTATTGCTGCTCAGTAGTTTATGTGATGCATCATGCATTGAGTAATCATCCATCTTGGTCATTTAGGCTCTGGTTTTTAATGATGTGGATATAGATTTGGTCCCATTATAAACAGCCCCTCTGCTCAGGTTTGTTCATTAATTTAGCCTTAACATTTAGCCTGGGTGAAACAAGGTCATGGATAATGGCTTAAACAGCCGATGAGGGATTCAGTGAGCTCAGGGAGCTTGATAAGGCCCAGTAGCTTGTTGTTTCCAGGCTGGCACTACTTTATCTGGAGTGCCACTGCCCTACCAACGGTGTGTGGGCTCTCAGGGTAGCCGGGAGCTCATTGGCTGGGTACTGATAGGACCGACAGCAACAAAGTCAGATAGGGTGTAGCATTGCAGTTTACTGGGCCTGGGAACTATCAGCAGCAGTTGTGTTCGGTTAAGGTTAACAGTTATCTGAGAGAGGGTGGGCAGAAATAGCCATGCCCCTGTCCCAGTCAAACAGCTTTGAGTGAAATAGCTTACTTTTGGATGAGTCAAAATATGTACTGGTAGATTCGTTTTGAGATGCATCGCTTCAGTCAGTAGGGATGTTATTGTATCACAGACTTATAATTAAATAGTTCATTACAACTGTTGCAGACGTAATGATTACATTCTCTGTAGAGTTAATGTATAATGTATTCTTGTATTCTTCAAAGTTGTTTTCAGTGTGGTTTTGTGGTTTAACAATAAAGTTTGACAATGACCATTTTCATTGTTTGAGAGTTTGCTGTTTGCTGATGTGGATCAGTATTTGAGAGAAATTGTCATTGTGTACATGGATTGTTTTATCCATTTTCATATTTTCATGTCATATGCCATTCACATTTCATTTGCACATACATTTCTTAAGCAAACTTCAAAAGTGGGCACCATTGTCACGTAGATCTGTTTAACTCACAAAACAGTAGTTGAAGGCTGACATTCTGGGGGCTGTGAGTCTAGTCTACCCACCCCAAGTCATTCAGCCTTCACAGATATCACACCCTTTAGTTTCTCACTAGAGTGCCACAGCTACGTTCATTCTCATTTCTAATCTAGTTTCCTCCTCCTCTTTTCACCCTGTCCATCCCCACGTTTTCCAATTGCCATCCAATAAAAATATCATACATTATACTGTTTGCCACCTGGTCAAGACTCTCTCACTGCAGTCTGCTGCTCTTGCCCGTCTCTTGCTTCCGCTCTGCTACTAACAACCTGCATGCTTTAATTGCTGATAGGCAGCAATTGTCACACACTCCAGTCAGTGTTGTGGTGGCTGCATGCTACGCATTAATGGATTCATGTACACATTGTCCATCAAGTGTTGCCTCTGGATCATTCAAGTTTACACAGGTTACATCTAGTACTCAGGTTACATTTTCACACGATTATTTCATTATCACAGTTGAAGGAGGCTATTTTGTGTTTATACACAGATACAGTATGTCTCCATGCTGATGGCAACTCTGATGCCAACCCTAACGGTACAGATAGTCCTAAGGTCAACCATAACCTCCCTATATGAATGGTTTTGGACTATAGCTTTCATGATAACTCATTCACAGAACTGACTTAATACTGGTTTATGACTTGAACAGGTATACAGCCCATTTAGAAGTCACCTGATGTGTCATTAAACTACTATTCACCAGTTTTTTGTGCGTAGTTGAACAAAACTTACCATAATGACGCCCTAGTGTGGCCTTTTCTGCGATATAGCATGGCTTTTATATCAATGTAGGTAACATCCATTACAATAAATGTCTTTGTTTGTCCATGTGTGTGCGTGTGTGTTTTCAGTCATTACTTGTAGTCCAGTAAAATGTGTTTGGTGTATGAAGCGCTCATTTGTAATGAATGTGCTGTAACTGTACTATTGCAAGTTGGCTGTAGCATTGCCCGCAGTAGCCTACATAGTTTAATCAATTATTACATAACCAGACAGCATTAGAATGTATTGAGGCTGTATTACAGTACATCATGTTTTGTGCCCAGTAAAGCTGCATGGCCTTAGAAAAGCAACGTTTTAGAAAGCCCAAGTCCTGTGCTACCTTCCAATGTCTGGATAGTCCTTTATTGTTGGTGCTATTGGACAGAAAGCTGTAAAGATTTCCTAATCATTCCATAGATCGTTTGATTGGCTTCAATAGCTCAAGCTCAACAATAAAATAATTTGTTTTTTTGTGCGGCTTAAGTAATAGAGCAAAATAGACCACAATTAAAGGAAAAACAACCATTATATTCACCTGAAATCACTATAAGTATTGACATGTGTTTTTAAGGGCTTATTTCCAGGAAAAATTATCCCATTTAATTGTGTGCCAATTGCTCTCAAGCATCCGGCCTATGATAACTTACAACTGTCAATTCAGTTGACTTTCCTGTCTCAATTTGTACACAATTGCCTTGATGCTAACATCAATAATGGCACATTGAGACCATATCAATCTGTGTTGGTGTTGTTAACTGTGTGGTATTAAATAGTGACCATGCAGAATGTCTTTCTCTTTGATTGAGTGTTGCTGTTGAGAAGGAGACACCAATCTGATGTGTTTTAATGTTTCTAATTTAATATTGTATGTTGCAGATAAGCCTGCAAGGAGAGATATAGATTTCCTCTACAATACATAATAATGAGCATTGAATGTGGCCAATACAGATGGTCATCTATGGAGGAATTACCTCCTAAACCATTCCATATGCAATCATGGGAAGAAATTGAAGCTGTGGCCATTTATACCAAAGCCTCTCAGCCTTGTCATAAGTATAAAATAGTATTTATTAGGTGTTAGTAGTCAGACTATAGCTACACTATACCCTAAACCAATTTCTTAAACAGTAGCCTTATTAATGAAAGCAAAGGGACTAAATTGTGGTCACACATCCCTAAATTAGATTAGGAAAGGGGGGTTAAGGTTGGTAAAGAATATCCCAGGGGATACTGTATGGCACCAGGACAACACGTGGAATGGGAGGGTGATAATCATCACACAAAACCATGGCACCATTGATTAACCCTTGAAAGGAAAAAAAAGATTAGACAATTACTAGAAGACCAAGAATAACAAATATCAATTCTTAACACATTTTGGTGTGAGTATAATTTGTACACGCACAGTATAATGTAAATATACCCATATCATATAAACCTTTTAGGAAATAGCCATTGAAGCCACAATCTTTGAGGACAATGTATAATTTCATGCTGAATCACAGTAATACTGAAAGCATGTCCTTGCTTTTAAGAATCGGCTGTCAGGACAGGTAGCTAGCTCTTGGTCCCCTGTAGGATACTGAGCGGTATCATCTCTCTCTGTGAAGGATAACTGTGTCACTAGACTCCCTCTCATAGACTGATCCTCTCTGTTCATTTGAACCCCTCACTGTCAGAAAGGAGACTGCCAGAAACAGTGGAATTTAGGGGAATAGCTAGGAGTATCTGTCACTCATAATTTCATACCAAATATTTATTGTAGTGGACCCAAGTCGATATCAAAAAGAGTTTTAGAATGTTTATTTTATTTTTGAAGACAGCGAGGAGTGACAGCAAGTGCACTTAGCAAGTGCACATTTTTTTCATACTAATTTCATCACCATACAGTGGCTTGCGAAAGTATTCACCCCCCTTGGCATTTTTCCTATTTTGTTGCCTTACAACCTGGAATTAAAATGGATTTTTTGGGGGTTTGTATCATTTGATTTACACAACATGCCTACCACTTTGAAGATGCAAAATATTTTTTTTGTGAAACAAACAAGATATAAGACAAAACAACAGAAAACTTGTGCATGCATAACTATTCACCCCCCCCAAAGTCAATACTTTGTAGAGCCACCTTTTGCAGTTATTACAGCTGCAAGTCTCTTGGGGTATGTCTCTATAAGCTCGGCACATCTAGCCACTGGGATTTTTGCCCATTCTTCAAGGCAAAACTGCTCTAGCTCCTTCAAGTTGGATGGGTTCCGCTGGTGTACAGCAATCTTTAAGTCAGTCCACAGATTCTCAATTGGATTGAGGTCTGGGCTTTGACTAGGCCATTCCAAGACATTTTAAATGTTTCCCCTTAAACCACTCGAGTGTTGCGTTAGGAGTATGCTTAGGGTCATTGTCATGCTGGAAGGTGAACCTCTGTCCCAGTCTCAAATCTCTGGAAGACTGAAACAGGTTTCCCTCAAGAATTTCCCTGTATTTAGCGCCATCCATCATTCCTTCAATTCTGACCAGTTTCCCAGTCCCTGCCGATGAAAAACATCCCCACAGCATGATGCTTCCACCACCATGCTTCACTGTGGGGATGGTGTTCTCTGGGTGATGAGAGGTGTTGGGTTTGCGCCAGACATAGCGTTTTCCTTGATGGCCAAAAAAGCTCAATTTTAGTCTCATCTGACCAGAGTATCTTCTTCCATAGGTTTGAGGAGTCTCCCACATGCCTTTTGGCGAACACCAAATGTGTTTGCTTATTCTTTTCTTTAAGCAATGGCTTTTATTCTGGCCAGTCTTCCGTAAAGCCCAGCTCTGTGGAGTGTACGGCTTAAAGTGGTCCTATGGACAGATACTCCAACCTCCGCTGTGGAGCTTTGCAGCTCCTTCAGGGTTATATTTGGTCTCTTTGTTGCCTCTCTGATTAATGCTCTCCTTGCCTGATCCGTGAGTTTTGGTGGGCGGCCCTCTCTTGGCAGGTTTGTTGTGGTGCCATATTCTTTCCATTTTATAATAATGGATTTAATGGTGCTCCGTGGGATGTTCAAAGTTTCTGATATTTTTTTATAACCCTACCCTGATCTGTTGACCTGTTTGGAGAGCTCCTTGGTCTTCATGGTGCCGCTTGCTTGTTGGTGCCCCTTGCTTAGAGGTGTTGCAGACTCTGGGGCCTTTTAGAAGAGGTGTATATATACTGAGATCATGTGACAGATCATGTGACACTTAGATTGCACACAGGTGGACATTATTTAACTAATTATGTGACTTCTGGAGGTAATTGGTTGCACCAGATCTTATTTAGGGGCTTCATAGCAAAGGGGGTGAATACATATGCACGCACCACTTTTCCGTTATTTATTTTTAGAATTTTCTTTAACAAGTTATTTTTTTCATTTCACTCCACCAATTTGAACTATTTTGTGTATGTCCATTACATGAAATCCATTTAAATTACAGGTTGTAATGCAACAAAATAGGAAAAACGCCAAGGGGGATGAATACTTTTGCAAGGCACTGTATACGCATTCAGTACTTTCCATTTTTGACACATAAAGATATACAGTAACAGGGAAAAATGCTAAATTAATTTCAACAAGGTCACAAACGAATCGATTTGTAAAACAAAAGGATGTGTGCCCTAAAACAGAATACAGTGCCTTCAGAAAGTATTCATATCCCTTGACCTATTCCACGTTTTGTTGTGTTGCAGCCTGAATTCAAAATGGATTTAATTGTTTTGTTCACCCATCTACACACAATACCCCATAATGACAAAGTGAAAACATATTTTTAGAACAGTTTGCAAATTTATTGGAAATTAAACACAGAAATATCTAATTTTCAGAAGTATTCACACCCCTGAGTCAATACTTTGTAGAAGCACATTTGGCAGTGATTACAGCTGTGAGTCTGGGTAAGTCTCTAAGAGCTTTCCACACCTGGATTGTGCAACGTTTTCCCATTATTCTTTTCGAAATTCTTCAAGCTCAGTCAAATTGGTTGTTGATCATTGCTAGACAACCATTTTCAGGTCTTGCCATAGATTTTCAAGCAGATTTAAGTGAAAACTGTAACTCCGCCACTCAGGAACATTCACTGTCTTCTTGGTAAGCAACTCCAGTGTAGATTTGGCCTTGTGTTTTAGGTGATTGCCCTGCTGAAAGGTGAGTTAATCTCCAAGTGTCTGGTGGAAAGCAGATTGAACCAGGTTTCCTTCTAGGATTTTTGCCTGTGCTCAGCTCCATTCCGTTTATTTTTATCCTGAAAAACTCCCCAGTCCTTAACGATTACAAGCATACCCATAACATGATGCAGCCCCCACTATGCTTGAAAATATGTATTGGAATTTTCCCCAAACATAATACTTTGTATTCAGGACAAAAAGTGAGTTGCTTTGCCAAATTTCTTGCAGTATTACTTTAGTGCCTTGTTGCAAACAGGATGCATGTTTTGGAATATTTGTATTCTGTACAAGCTTACTTCTTTTCACTCTGTCAATTGGGTTATTATTGTGTAGTAAGTATAATGTTGTTGATCCATCCTCAGTTTTCTCCTATCATAGCCATTAAACTTTCTTAAAGTCACTAGTGTCCTCATGGTGAAATCACTGAGTGGTTTCCTTTCTCTCCGGCAACTGAGTTAGGAAGGACACCTGTATCTACCAATAGGTGCCCTTTTTAGCGAGTTATTGGAAAACCTCCCGGGTCCTTGTGGGGGAAGAATACTTTTGCAAGGCACTGTATGCGCATTCAGTACTTTCCATTTCCAGTACTTTCCAAATCTGTGTTTGAAATTCACTGCTCGAATGAGGGGCTTTCAGATAATTGTATGTGTGGGTTACAGAGATGAGGTAGTCATAAAAAAAATCGTGTTAAACACTATTGTTGCAACTTAGTACATGACTTGTTAAGCTAATTTTTACTCTTGAACTTATTTAGTTAGGCATGCCATAACAAAGGGGTTGAATAGTTATTGACTCAAGACATTTCAGATTTTCATTAGAATTTTTTTATTGCGAAAAACCTACTTTTTGACATTATGGGGTGTGTGTAGGCCAGTGACAAAACATCTACATTTAATCATATTACATTCAGGCTGTAACACAACAAAATGAAGAAAAAGTCAAACAGCCATTTAGTGGACAGCAATTGAGTATGACTGCATTTTTAATAAGATGCAATTTTTCACACCATGACATTTCAATAAAGGGCAACACTCAGTAAATTAAATACAAAACCGACATTTTGTAACAATGAGCAGAGTGTGTTGGTTGTGAGGAAATGTAATTCCACTTGATGTGCACCACACAGCCTGGGAGGCGACCAATTGGAGTTTAACCAAGTCTATTGTCATGCCTCCACTGCTTTCCATTACAGAGAGAGAGTGAGAGAGTGGGAGAGCGAGAGAGAAAGAGGGAGAGAGAGAGAGAGAGAGAGAGAGAGAGAGAGAGAGAGAGAGAGAAACCCTCCAATATGTTTTGGAACAAACCAAAGAGCCTTCCCGTAATGAGAGACTTAGTTTGGATGGTTGATTCCATTCCACCTCCCAAGTCCCTTGCCTTCTTTACCACTTCTTTCACGGTAATATGTTATTTATTTCTATGTATTTAGTTGCAGTCATCATTCCAGGATTCAGTGTAGATAAAGGACAATGTGAGGGGTTCAAATGCACAACCACTGAGGGATATTTGTTCATTTACATGACGTAGGTTGAAGTGCCAATCAAGCAAATGTCACTGAATAATCAGTATTACATTAGTATGCTTCAAATCATACAAACCACAGCAGTATGTAATAACTGCACATTAGCTTTTGGAACAAATCAATCAAGTCAATGGGATTAAATAAAAAAATTAAAACATGTCAAGCACAACTGTTGCTATAGCAGATTTCATAAAGAGTGAACGACATAATGTTCTCGTTATAGTTACAGCACAGCATTTTGCTGTTCTGTCCCGTTTTTCACTCCTATTGCTTTATGGGTGTTTACTTTTTGTATGTTGATGTGTTCTCTACACTATGGTCATGTCTATCTTTGTTTCCATTGTGATGAACGTCTTTGTGATGAACTTGATTTCTTCTGTCACCATACGGTGCTTGTGAATCGTGAATAATTGGGTCTCTGTGCCATTGGTTGTTGTGGTAAGACAGTCCGTTTCCTCCTCCCAGAACGCATCACTCTGGAGTCTGTTCTTCTCCACATTGATCATGTTCATGTGATGGAGACTGTTCACTGTCCCTGTTCCTGTGTCACTGCTTATGTACCTCTCTTCCTAACAGGGGTCCCCCCACCTCCCGCTGTCAGGAAAGCAATTAAGGAGGCAGGGAGGTCTAGAGGCAAGCCATCATACTATGCTTTTAACTTTGTTGTGCTGATTAGAGGCCTCGGAGGCCCTTACTGAGTTTGGGTTGACATACTGTTACAACTAACTTTAGAGGAGTAGACAAAACGTAATTATATATTTGTAAACAAAAAATATACAGTACCAGTCAAACGTTTGGACACACTTACTCATTCCAGCTGGTTAAGAGAATGCCAAGAGGGTGAAAAGCTGTCATCAAGGCAAAGGGTGGCTACTTTGAAGAATCTCAAATATAAAATATATTTTGATTTGTTTAACACTTTTTTGTTTACTACATGATTCCAAATGTGTTATTTCATAGTTTTGATCTCTTCACTATTATTCTACAATGTAGAAAATAGTAAAAAATAAAGAAAAACCCTTGAATGAGTAGGTGTGTCCAAACTTTTCCTTGGTACTGTATATATATTTAAATATAATACAATTTACTATTAACAACTAATATAGCAACTAATTAGTCCATTAACTCATGTTATGATAAATACACTACATGACCAAAAGTATGTGGACACCTGCTTGTCGAACATCTTATTCCAAAATCATGGGCATTAATATGGAGTTGGTCCCCTCCCTTGTTGCTATAACAGCCTCCACTCTTCTGGGAAGGTTTTCCACTAGATGTTGGAACATTGCTGCGGGGACGTGCTTCCATTCAGCCACCAGCGCATTAGTTAGGTTGGGCACTAATGTTGGGCAATTAGGCCTGGCTCACAGTCAGCGTTTTAATTTATCCTAAAGGTGTTTGATGGGGTTGAGGTCAGGCCTCTGTGCAGGCCAGTCAAGTGCTTCCACACTGATCTCGACAAACCATTTCTGTATGGACCTCGCTTTGTGCACGGGGGCATTGTCATGCTGAAACAGGAAAGGGCCTTCCCCAAACTGTTGCCACAAAAGTGGAAGCACAGAATCGTCTAGAATGTCATTGTATGCTGTAGCGTTAAGATTTCCCTTCACTGAAACTAAGGGGCCTAGCCCGAACCATGAAAAATAGCCCCAGACAATTATTCCTCTTCCACCAAACTTTACAGTTGGCACTATGCATTCGGGCAGGTAGCGTTCTCCTGGCATCCGCCAAACCGTGATTCGTCCGTCGGACTGCCAGATGGTGAAGCGTGATTCATCCCTCCAGAGAGCGCATTTCCACTGCTCCAGAGTCCAATGGCGGAGAGCTTTACACCACTCCAGCCAATGCTTGGCATTGCACATGGTGATCTTAGGGTTGTGTGCTTGGCCATGGAAACCTTTTTCATGAAGCTCCCGACGAACAGTTAATGTGCTGACGTTGCTTCCAGAGGCAGTTTGGAACTCGGTAGTGAGTGTTGTAACCGAGGACAGACGATTTTTACGTGCTACGCGCTTCAGCACTCGGCGGTTCCATTCTGTGAGCTTGTGTGGCCTACCACTTCGCAGCTGAGCTGTTGTTGCTCCTAGATGTTTCCACTTCACAATAACAGCACTTACAGTTGACCGGGGCAGATCTAGCAGGGCAGACATTTGACGAACTGACCTGTTGGAAAGGTGGCATCCTATGATGGTGCCACGTTGAAAGTCACTGAGCTCTTCAGTAAGGCCATTCTACTACCAATGTTTCTCTATGGAGATTACTTGGCTGTGTGCTTGATTTTATACACCTGTCATGAACGGGTGAGGCTGAAATAGCCGAATCCACTAATTTGAAGGGGTGTCCACATACATTTGGCCATGTAGTAACCTTTGCATACCTTTGATATAAGCCTTTAGATATTGTTGATAACTGTAACATCTATTTGTTCAGAATAGAAAATAAATTCCCATTTAAATATTTTCAAGTCCAGGAAACAAAAAGTCCTTTGTTGAATATGGCTATATCAACCGTGTTTCGTTAACTTAACCCACTCATTCTAATTCAACACTACTATAGATTAATAACCACTCTCTTCTGAATATCCGTTATACTACTTTGATAATTGCTCGCTAATGAGCACCAAAGGGTCTAAAGACCAGTCAGTCAGATTCTCCTGAGAGTTGTCACTAACACAGTGCTGGGGTACAGTATGCTGGAGGGGGTGTCTGACATGTCCTGTAGTCTGTACTGTAGCATGTTTACATGTCATGGACACCTACTGCCTACTGTGTGTCTCTACCTATGACGAAATGGAAATGATGTCTCATGCTGTTTGCCTGCACAGCACAGCACAGCACAGACAGACAGACAGACAGACAGACAGACAGACAGACAGACAGACAGACAGACAGACAGACAGACAGACAGACAGACAGACAGACAGACAGACAGACAGACAGACAGACAGACAGACAGACAGACAGACAGACAGACAGACAGACAGACAGACAGACAGACAGACAGACAGACAGACAGACAGACAGACAGACAGACAGACAGGTGGTAGTCTACACAGTGTATGCGCCAGCAGAAATTAGAAGTAACCCATTGGACCATGGCTGGACAGAGGACATGTTATACTATATCACATTCTTTATAGTCATTTAGTTATAAGCTATTGTTTATAGCCATGTACACATTCAACTTCATATAATTTCTCTGTTTGTTTCTGGGTAGGAATTCCGTTGCTGGGATTTGCTTGTTCTCATGCATTTACCTACATACAGAATATTTGAACGTTGTATGATTCCATAGAATGCAGTTTTATACATTTGTAACTATGTATTCTTTAAATATTCCTTAGTCCAGTTTTTAGTGGAGTGTTTATAGAAGTGTGTGTGTAAATGTATGGTGGCTATGCTATGCGGGGTCTTAGCTCACACGGCCTGTTCACCACACTCTCAGGAAGCATTCAGCATATCAGCTCGGACCCCATGAAAATGGTGAACGAGGCGGTGGAGGAGTCCACTGGCTGGGGCAACCTGCTTCTGACCTTTGCCTCCAGCCTGGTAGCACCTGAGGAGGAGGATGAAATCGAAGGTATACTTCACACATACTACCCTAATAATAGACAAACTAACAGCAACAACAGTAACATAATGAACAAAACACCATTGTATTTCTAAAAGAAAAAGGGCTAGCCCGCTTTGATTTGATGAGTCACCTGGCAGGTCATGCCTCATTCAACTTCAAGCTGTTTATTGACACATTTTCACCTCCGCCATTTCACCTCCATAAACGTGTCTGTGTGTCTGTGGTACACATATTCAGTAAAGCACACCGCTGCAACATTAAGTCTATATGGCTTCAGGAGGGATGCAGGAGAAATCTGGCAGACTGAGAACCTGTGAACCATAGCGCAGTCACTGGCTTCTCTCCAAGGCTAGCCTGTGGTCCTCTAAACACTCTACACAATACTATATATACTGTAAATCACAGTATGTTAAAAGGAGGTCCATACATATCAACCTGACCCTGTTTATCATATCTCATATTACATAATGTATTGTAATATTAAATACAAGCTCCATCCACACAGAGCTAATACTAGGATTCCAAACTCCAAACTAAAGAACGGGACACTGTTTTGCAGCCTTTCACACAGAATAATTTTGAAGTGGAAGAACAATGCTCTCGACCTGCAGCGTGATACCTATAACTCCTGTACCACATTTGTGTGCGACTGTTCTAAAAAAGAAATTCAAGTCAACAAAACAAAGCCCAAATCAGCTCTCTTTCTCTCTCTCATCAATCCCTTGCTTTTGTCTTTTCACCACTCACTGTTCACCATGCTCACTTTAATGTACAGATCTCATCTCCAAGCTCCACACTCACCATTACACAACATACTCAGCAGTTTATGTTTCCTCCCAACATCAGAACATACAGTTTACACAATGTTAGCTAAGGACATATGAAACAGCCAAGGAGCTAGTCTCCATTCCTTAGCTTAGCCTGCGATTCAGCTGGGTATTAGATGTATTTTTACCAGCCTTATTGAACCAGGAAGGAACTTGATATCAAGTATTCATTTCCAATGACAACCTAGCGATTTCCAATGACAACCTAACTGTACTACAGTTCAGGGACAAACTTCCTGCGGAACAGTAATGATTTGTGGCAGAGAAGCGAACACACATCAGTGTGATTTAGCAAAGCAAACATTTATAGTTAATTTAACAGCAGCACCACACGTACAGTTCACCAGCTGTAATTGAATTACAGTACAACAAAATAATGTAAGCAAATTTCACTTCGATTTTGCTAATAGTTTTGTTGTGCAATAAAGGGAATGCAGGAGAGTAGCACTAATGTCAGTCCCAATAGTAACTTGTTGAAGAAAGCAATGTAGTTTTATTATGCACACACACACAATTAGAGCTGGAGTGAATCAATTAAAACATATACAGATGGATTCACTTTATAGTTCACATCCAGGTAGCTGCTGATGTAATATTGTGATATTTATAAAACATACCATGCGCTATTCATTATCAGGATGCACACACTATTGTAGGTAACTTTGATAAGGAAACTGTTTCAGATGGTAGTATGGCTCAGTTGGTAGAGCATGGTGCTTGCAATACCAGGGTTGTGGGTTCAATTCCCACAGGGGAACAATACAAAAAATTAAGTCTGAAAATGTAGGCACTCACTACTGTAAGTTGCTCTGGATAAGAGCGTCTGCTAAATTATGTGAATATATTTGCTATCTGGTGATCAGCAATACTTTCTACCTAGGCAGAAAGAGTGAATTAAAAGGTACAGTAGTGGTTAAAAATGTTATGAAACAGGAATATTATGCACACATTTTAGTTATCAATACAAAATGCATGTAGACATTCAGTATGGCAGCATGGAAATACCTCAAAACACATCTACAATATCATCCAAAGGTACAGAAGCCTTTGTCATACAGACCAAAATTAAACTGACCCCACTGCATCCCTTCTTGGCTCAGTCATATCATACACACACACACACACACACACACACACACACACACACACACACACACACACACACACACACACACACACACACACACACACACACACACACACACGGTAACAGTGAAAGTAACAGTGACCTCTGCTCCCTGTTAAATGATGGAGAGAGTGAGTCAGTGGAGGGATGGAGGGGAAGACAAAAGGAG